AGCGTTTCAGTGGTTTCGTTAGGATAATCAGAAATTACTGACTCATCATCAATATTCACACGCAGCTCATTAGCATTATTCGTGACGAAACACAGATTGAGATGGGCATGAAAAATTTAGAGGGAGCACAATCGATTGATTTGGAAAGAAATCGAGGAGAAATGTTAGCCCAAATAGGTGAATTAGAAAAACAGAATGAAACACCTGAATTTAAAGAAGCCTTAGAACTATACTTCAAGCCGAGGGGGACATGGAATGTGCCAATTATTAAGGATTTAGGTGATAAAAAGGTAATGAATTTCGAAAAAATAGAAGGTGATGTAGAAAAAGTAGTTGATTATTTTTTGACCTCAAAAGATAAGCTCACTCCACATGATAAAGAGATTCTGGAGGATAAAGCCACTGAATTTTTGATTAAACAAGAAAACAAATCACTAATTGAAAAAGTTAACAGTTTTTTTGAACCAGTGAATCAATTAACTTTGGAGAATATAAATGTCTTGAATGTAGCAGTTGATCAATTTTTAACTTTAAAGGATAAGAACGCTGTGAAAATTCTGGAGAAGGGATTAAATGAATTCTTGGGATCACCAAAAGAAAGTGTATTAAAAAACGTAGTCAGTAATTCGTCGGAAAGCTTATTTAAGAATAAACTATACTCAGTTTTAGTGCATATAACAACTAAAGAGGATGTGGAAGTTTTAAAAGAAGCATTAAAAGGCAAAAAAGATTTGAAAAAAACTGTCGATGAATATCTGACTTTAAAAGCTAAAGAGGTTTTGGAAACAGCAGTAAATAAACTCCTAACCTTGAAGCGTAAAAAGGTACTATTGATATTAGGTAGCGGATGCACAGGCAAATCGACGTTTAATCGTTATCTTGCTCGTCGTCTATGGCAATCTGTCAAACAAGACATGACGCAACCCATTCCTTTATTTATCGCATTAGCGCCATTAGAAGAATTTATAAATAAAAATCAAGATTTTATTGAAGTCTATTTGCGGGAAAAAGGCAAACTAACCACGGACCAAATTAAAGAATTACGTAATAGGAAGTTTGTGTTTATTTTAGATGGTTATGATGAGATTGCTGAACATGAACGTCATTGCTATCATAGCAATATGTTCTCTAAATGGAAAAATGCGAAAATTATCATCAGTTGTCGACCAGAGTACTTAGATGTAGGCTATGAAAAAAGGTTCTGGCCTGAAGAAAACGAAGAAAGAGGGTTTCAGGAAATAACGCTTACACCATTTTCGTGGAATGAAATAAAACAATATATCATAAGATATGTTGATTACTCCAAGAAGAATAGTAGGCCACTGCCATTGAACGCAGATACATATATACAGCAAATAAAAAATATACCGCAAATAGAAGATCTTGTGTGCAATCCCATTCTATTAAAAATTACTTTGACTGTTTTACCAGACCTTCTCGGAAAAATAAAAACATCTCAAATAAGTCGTATAGTTCTGTACGACGAATTTGTTATGAAATGGTTTGAGCGTGCTCAAGACCGCTTGCTAAAGATTCAACTAAAACCTAAAGAACTTAAAGAGTTTAATCGTTTAAATGTAGATTTTACTGAACATTGTTTACAATTTGGTAAAGAATTTGCTTTCAAGATGTTTATGGACAATAACAAAGTAGTTGTAAACTATGATCCAATAAATGAGAAGATTACATCCAACTGGACAAGGCTTTTAGGGAAAACAGATGAAAAAATTCGCTTGATTCGTTTTAGCATGCCATTAATTCGACGTGGAAATTAATATTGGTTTTTCCATAAATCATTACGAGATTACTTAATCGCTTATGCATTGTTTGACTCATTTAATGATACATCACAGACAACCCTCTTCAATAGGCAGTCGATTATATCAGAACCCGCAATTCAACAATTTTTGGCCGAACGAATCCAACAAATGCCAGAGCACATAGAATCGCTATTTAATTTTATTGAGTGTTCTAAAAAGAATGCAAACATTGAAATTGCAGTTTTCTGTTTTCCTATAAAAAACCTGGTTAATGAAATTAAACAAATTCATGAGAATAGCGAATGTAATAAGAACCTTGCCTCAATTATGACGGATCTAGTAATAAAGGCAGAATACCACTTTGATACACTTATAGAAAATACAAATTGCGAGGATTATTTGTACAAGAAAAAGTTAATTCTTAGAAAACTTGAAAATGTTTTGATAAATATTAGAGATTTTGTTAAGGATGTATCAACAATTAAGGGCATCGGGCGATTTATTAACACAACTGAAGTTAAGAAAAGATATGAGCAATTGTGTAAAGAATATGACGAGTTCATGGCAGATTTACAAATTACTATCCATACTGACAATAAAAGACAAGTTGATAACATTGAAAAAGTAAGCATAATTTTTCAAATATATTATTTATATACATTATCAGTTTTAATTTTTTTTTTATATGTATCTATTTTAGAATTGCGAAAACCTTTATGATAAAGTTACTTCGATGTATGAAAATGTGAATACAATAATGAATAGTTTAGTACATACAAAATCAGATGTTCATGCGAAGAATATTAATCCGGCTGATTTACATGATCCTGGACATAAAACTAAAGATGATATTCGTCATCATGTCTTTAGGAAGATTATTTACCAAGTGGCTGATGTTGCATGTAAACCTATTAAAGACTATAATCAGCATCAAACTGAATTGACAATTCTTGGAAAATTATGTAAACTGCCATACATTCCATACATTCTTCATTTTTATGGTCTATCACGTGCTGATACGTGATGGCTATCGTGAAGTTATGGTTTTTGAATGGGCCCACAATGGGACTTTGGCAGAACTCTATAACAATTTCGATATTTCTTGGGCTAGAAAGATTCAAATCGTTCGAGATATTTGTCGTGGTATTGTATTTTTACGTTGGGCGAATGTTCTTCATCACGATCTTAGATGCGATAATATTTTTGCAAGTAATTTAAATTGTACTTATTATGTAATAACAACAATTATTAATGTATTAAATTGTAGGTAACTCAAAACTTGGATGTAAAACTTGGAAATTTCAAATATTCACATGCAGTAGATGCAAATACTTCGAATATTTCGGACTTAATAAAACATGCTCGTTGGATGGCTCCCGAACAGATCGAAAAGTATACAAAAGCATCTAAAAAAGAATATACATTTTTTTGCGAAATATTCAGGTTTTGATATTTTTAATTTATTAAATTGTATTTTTCTTTTTCACCCTTTTTAATCATAATTCTCTGCGGTTAGTTTTGGAATGCTCATTTGGGAACTTTGTTACGAGAGATATCCTTATAGTGTTCAGGGTTGGGACAATGATCTTGTTAAGAAAGTATCCGAGCATATTTTAAGTGGTAAACGAGAAGAACTTTGTGTAGGAAAATTTATAGACTCCATTGATAAAGAGATTCAATTAGAATTTATTAAAATCATTAGTGAAGGTAATTATATTATATCCTTGTAATTTTTATTTAAATTGATAATACTGATTTTTCTTTATAAATAGCATGGCAACATGAACCAAATCAACGAACAGATATTATGAAATTAAATACAATTCTTAATGATATGTCTATAAAATATCCTATTTCTCCTGATGCATCAACAATTTTGCGTGATAAAACATATAATTTTGACGGAAAGAAAGAATCAAATAAAACACGAGCAGTTTCTTCGGATTCTTTGTTGCCAAAATTTGATGATGACTTTGAAATAATTGACTTTAATGATTCAAGTAGCTTTTTAGTAACTCTTAAAACAGGAATAGAGTATCATCAAAATAAAGATCACAAAGCTGCGTGGGAATGCTTCGAACAACATGCTAAGCTTGGTGATCCATTAGCAAAATATTGGCAAGCATATTATTATTACAACGGGTATGTTGTAGAAAAAAATTTAGATCAGGCCAAAAAACTGTTTAGAGAAGCTGCTGATGACAACAATCACCCTGAATCACAGTATCGATATGCAGTTATGCAGTTTCATCGCCTTAAAAGCACTGATGACGAAGCTACAAAAAAGAGCAAGTGCAATGAAATTTTACATTACCTTAAATTAGCAGCCGATAATAAGAACGTTGATGCAATGTTTTATTTAGGAGACATCTATATGAACGGAAAACTTAGAACAAAACAAAACAAAGAGATGGGATTAGAATATTTAGAGTTGGCGGCAAAAAATAATTCGGAGAAGGCAATTAATTTGTTAAAACAATTAAACCAAGATTGTAAATAGAGTTCAATTAATTTTTAAAACACATGATTAGATGGGTGTTTGATATAAACCATCTCTTTTATTTTTTTTTTTAATACTCTTTTACTTCAAAATCATTACCATTAAATTGCATTGAGATTAGGGTTATGTCACATGAAGAGAATTTACTAATGTTTTCCTTGCGTCATTTTCAAGATTTTACGTATGAAAGATCTAAAGTTAAAATATTATTTTTGCAAAGAGCATCCGTTAATACTTCTTCATTCTCAAATCCAAGGTGTAAGTAAAGTGGTTAACATATTATTGCATATGCTAATCTTTTTTTATATTGGAGTCAAGCTGATTAGATAAAAAATTCAAATAAATTAACTATTGTTTTGGAAAAAATATTTATTGTTATTTTTCATTGATAGAAATAATCTAAATACAAAATAAAATAAAAATACAAAAGTTATGGGTTTTATTGTAAATCATATTCTCAAATTTAATCCAATTATTGTGACCAGTAGATAACCGCCAATCACACGACACCTTAAAATTTCCTTTAAATTCATTTTTAAAAAATTATCACACAAAAAGTCACAATTCCAAAGATTTCTTGTCAAATTCCAATTCTTTAATATAACATCCATTAGTGTACTATATTTTGCTTTGTTTCGCCAAGTGGTTATAAAAATTTATGTTTTTTTTTAATTTTTCCTTATGAATTTCTAGATCTCTAGTATTGAAAATTAAAATTGTTTCAAATTAATTAATAAATACGGTAACTGCGAGATGCCGTCGCACTAAAAGCTAGGAACGTAGACAACAATATTCTAAGAGTGGAGTGATATTAAAATTTTAACGAATGTATGGTTATATCGCCAATTAAGTAGTGTGTGTTCGCAAAATCCTGCATTTTATATGCGGCAAAGTGGGGTGTGAATGTATATCAGGAATTTCACACGTAGTACTATCACAGGGCATATGTAATACTTTCTTCTGTATATAGGCATGATTTGATCCACACCTGAATTCATATGAATCCATATTTACTGTTTTTCTCATGATCTATTTCACAATTAAGTTTTAA